CTGTGTGTGTCACTCAAGACATTCTTTCAGCGCTGATTTTGATGCCCTTTGCACTGATCCACAGTGCCCCACGATGAACCTCATTTCTGTTCAGACGAACACGGGGGTGGGGGTGGGGGAGGGAGAGGAAAAAAGGGAGGAGAGATGCTACCAGTGCAGGCAGTTGCAGAAGTGGGAGGGCTCTAACAGATGTCATGGGAGGAGCACTGGCTCCTACACGTAGGGATTTTCCCTGTGACGGCACTTCAAGATAAGCCATCTGGGGGATTCCCCAGACTGCCTTCAGAAATACCACTCTAGAAGCAGCAGCGGTTTCAGTCTGCTCTCACAGTCCATCCTGCAAGGGGACACACTGTGGCTGCTCTGTGATTTCAAACAGCAAAAGCCATGTCTTCGGTAACCCACGCTCTGCTCATCACCCTGTGCAATGGTAAGTGAGGAGCCTTGCCTTTTGCATTCTGGTCCTTCACATTTGTTTTGTGGGGATATATTTTGGGAAGACAGGGGGGATTACCTAGGCAATCTCTTTTAAAGGTGATGTGTACCTGTGCTTTGCAGTTTGGTTCTTGGTCAGCAGTGCTTCAGTGGCGGAACCAGATGTTACTGTGAGATGTGCTGAAGAAGTGCTGCTGCCCTGTAACGTTCTCCAGGACTCCTCAGTCACCTACCAGACAGCATCTTGGTATAAAGTAAGAAAAAAACTAAGATACTTGATCAGTCTGCTTTGCTTTCCTACCTGGCACTGGCTTGTCTTTTACAAACTGGGTTATTTTATGAACTCTCTCAGTGCAGCAGAGATAAGGCAGCAATGAAAACATTTGAACTGATCATGGAGAACAAGCATCTTCCATGTCATTGTAGACATACTGTGATCCCTGAATTGCTCTTGGCCTGCATTTCTATCTAACTATTGCTGGCTTCAGGTGATACCCCATGTATATATACCACTCCAAAGAGGAGTCCTTCCAGGATTTTTCTTCAGAGTAGAAACTGGTATTTAAATGTTGTGACATCAGTGATGTTGTGCCTTGATTAAACTCCCGCCGAACAGAAGCTGATTTTTAATTTGAAATAGAAAAACTGAACAAGTACTTGCTGTTCTTTAGGAAGATTCGGCTAGTGGAAGTGGCCATAAGGGCAGTGTATGCAGAAGGCTGGTGGAAAGCTAGAAATTCTGAGTCACCTCTTTGCAGTCACAAAGTAGAAGTTTAATCTTGGTTACCCTGGTTCAGAATTCCCATCTCCAAAGCAGGAGAGACGAGCTGACAATCTATTTGCAGGATGGCTACAAGGATCAATTGGCTAATGAGCAGAAAGTCCTAACACTTTCAAGACCAAATTTTTCGTAGAAAGAGAGGCAGAGTTGTACAGTGGTTGAAGAAGTGGCTGTTGACTTGCTGTATGGCATCATGTATTTGCATCTCAGTGCATAGTTTCAGCTTATGATGTAAGACAAATTAACAGGAAAAAAAGAAAGGTTTTATTCTCCCTCCTTCCTCACTTCCAGACATGGACTCCTGCTGTTTACCATAGGTGAGTCCTGGTGGTCCTCTGGTTGCCTGTTAAGTCAACACGCTGCTGCTTGTTTTAGTTGTGGAAAATCAATATGTGAAAAAAGATTTTTACAGAGTTGAATTACTTTCCCATGTGAGGGGAGAGCAATGGAAGGAAAAAACCCCTATTTTTGGTGGGAGAAAACTGTTACTTTTTCTCTGCCAGAACATAAAGCCACAGCCTTGGCTTCCCCAGCAGTTTGGTCAGATATAGTTTAAAAGTCATTCCCTACAGCAAACCAACAAACGGTGTTATTAGACAGGGCTTCTGTGGTTGAAACTCACAATGCACCTGAGTTTCAGTGCTGATACAACAATGAGCATCTGCCTACTGACTAGATGAGAACTGCAACCCAAAGGTACCTAACTCTGAAAGAGCTGTTTCAAACATCTGGCTAGCAGCCTATCAGCAGGTGCAGTGTCAATGATCTTTTTCCAAAATGCTGAACCAAATGTGGGTGGGAGACAGAGAAGAGAATAATGCATTTGGTTGAACATTACTGTGAGAGTTAGGATAGGTGTCAACTTGTTCTTTATTTGCTTTCTGCTTCAAAAATCTGGATACATGCATGTATTTTCCATACAGATACATGCTAATTATTTAAGACTCCATGTTTCCCACAGAGTCTAGGCAGAGCAGGGAGCTTATCACAGGAAAACCATGCAATCTAGTGGACCTGGAGGAGTTGAGCAAAAGTGGCAGGGGTTGGGGGAGGAATAAACAGGCTGTCTGGGTTCTTGAAAATTCTCCCCCAAACCAGTGTGGGAAGTCAACAAAAATAAAGCAGTTTCAGCAGGCTAAGTGTGGGGATCCTCTCCTCTCCTCTCCTCTCCTCTCCTCTCCTCTCCT